TGTTGAACTGTATGTGGCATAAAGGCAAAGAAAACGATACCTAATAATAAAACTAAAAAGATTTAAAAAAAAGAGTTAGCAAAAGTGAGTGTAAAAGCAGACTAGTAGACTGCGAGCTCAGCAAGGGCGTAAAAAACTTTAGCAAATCCTTTTAAGCGACAGTTAAAAATCTGAAACTTCTCAGTTTTTTTTTTTTTTTTTTTTCCCCGCCTCTGTCACTTTTACATTCGAATGACTTTTCGAACTGTTTCCACCAAATGTTATTGCGATGTGATACTTTCAAATAAATAATTATGAAGAATCTGTATGTATGTGTATGCATGCTGCTTGCGTGGTGAAAAACCGACGGCACCTACTATAACCATTGAATTTTTAATACACGTAGTTCTCCACCCAAAAACACGAGCACCTCGAACCTCAATTTCGAATTTGTTTTTGATTTGTTTCATAATTTGTATAAATTTAATTAGTTTTTATAACTCAGCGATTTGAAAACAAGAAGTGAGAACAGTGCTCAAAATAAAATATTTTTATCTACAGCACGATAGCCTGTTGCCATTCGGCAAAATATAAGGTATTTTTATTTTAATTTAAATAAAAAAAATTTTATTTAACTTGTAAGGTATTTCTCCCGTATTTCTAGCGTGCCTTTGTGGTGTAGTGGTTCTGCACGCTGGACCGGTATTCCAGATGTCCGTGGTTCGATTCTCGGCGAAGGCGTTTGCTAATTTTTCACCTTGTCTGCTTCCAAAAAAATACCTAATGTCTCTACAAACTGAATCGTTCCTAATTTTTTAAAACTTCTAATTTTTTTTACTTAACTTACCATGATGGACTTTCATTGTTCTGACATGATTCTTAAAAAAGCAAATTGTTCAGCAAGATACTGGTGTGCACAGGCACCACAATAACTGCTCCATTGCAATTATAATTCGATAATCTTGATATTTGAAAGCAATGTGTTGCCACACTCGAAAATAAAATACTTTTATTTTTCAACATCCTATTGCCTTTCAGTAACGCTTAAGTTTAACTTTTAGGTTTAATCTGGAATGTTACTGAGTAACAATCTAAGCGATTTAAAAGCATAGTTAAACACAGTTCTTAAGAATATTTTTTCTGCTCTTTAATGTAATTGATTTAAATAAATATGCTTTAAAATCATGGAGATATCTAATCAGAAATACTAAACATTCTTATAAAATTACTCATTAAAATCACTGTACACTTTTTTTATGACAGCTATTTTATTCGGCTAGCTTTTAAAGTAATAATAAGAAAAGAATTCATACCAACCCCTAAAACTATATGGGAAATTCTAAAGATATGTTGTTTTTAATATTTTGTGATTTTTCTGTTAAATTTTGAATGGCGTATGTATGAAAAAAATCGCATTTAATAAACCAAATTTAGCCCACAAAAAGTTATTAATAAAAAGACCTAAAAAGTTTTGTAAATCATTTAAGTAAGAAAACTGAACATTAATATGAACTGAGAAAGAACTGAAAAAAAGCAAAAAAGCGCATACCAATACTTTACCGAGAATTCTTAACATATGTTGCTATGCTGTTGTTAAAAATGTTGTGATTTTTCTGCTGAATCGTGAAGAAAACGCTAAGTGCGAAAAAAACGATGCTTAATAATAAAGCTAAACAATCAAATAATTACATTAGCAGGAGTGAGTCCAAGAGCACTTTGGTAACTTGCGATGCTCAATGAGAGTATAAAATGCCTTAACAAACCTTCTGGTGTGACGAAAACTAGAATTATCTTTTTTCTTTCATTGTTTTTAAGTATATTGAATAGGATAATATTACGCATGTGAACAGCTTCATTAACATCCAGCAAGATGTTTTGGACAAACTTTTTTTTCTATTTATTGATATCAATCTTAAAATTTCAACTATAGTAGTTCAAATTTTGAGTGATCATTTTTCATAAACAGAAACGTTGAAAATTTTTCGGTTTCTAACTTAAAAATTAACTTTAATAAACGACTAAAAATTATGATAGCATAATCGATACAATAATTTTCAATTTATATTATATACATTAAAAGTTTTTTTTAATCTCCGGCACCAGTAAATTTCATAAAGGCATTTTTAGATTTATTTTTACCATAATACATTATCATAAAAACCGTAAATATCTTATTAGCATTACTTCAATCTATCCTGTCATAAATATCAAAAATGCCCAAGCCTTCAGCATTTTTCAAAACCGAATCCCCCTTCTTGAAAACGTAAAATAGAGCTGAAACTGGAACATTCTAAAAGTGCATTTTATGTTCTGTTGTTATATTTTTGGTATTTTAATGGCTTTGTAAGTAATTACCAGACCAATGTTGCCTTTTGTATGCATGTTAAGGTACATTAAGTTTTCTTTGCTAAATTTATTTGCATATATCTTTTGAAAATGGGCCAAAGCTACATAATTTAGTAATCAATCAGATAAATAAATAATGCAAATGAGGCGATAAATAATAAATTCTAAAAAATGACAGAAGATGTTAAATTGAAAATTTTCTTTCCTAAACAAAAATTTCTGAACAGTACTTTGCTATTTTTCACTTTAAATAACTATGCTTTAATAATTAATAATTTAATTTTATATCTACATCAAAGCAGAATCGAGCACGAAATATCAACATGCTAATGCCCAATCTATGTAGTTGATAATTAAAAGACATTTCTGGGATTGAAAATTTCCAATATTTTCAATTTGTACCATTTATGTGTGTTTTAATCAAAAGTAAGTATTTTGTACTATACAAATAATTAAAATATTTCTAAATATGAATTTGAAGCCGTATTTAGAAATATTAAGTCGAAATAAAATTCTAATTACTTTGAAGAAAACAATTCTTCAACCATATTGAAGAGGTAGTATATAATGCTATCACTAATTTTTGCAATAAATATACTCTTCAAAGGAATAATTTCAGCGAAGTTCTGAAACATCAAATTACTTCAAAAAAATAGTTTGATGTTTCCTAGTCTAAAAGTTAAGCATATTCCATGTTTTAAAACTTTTAAGTTCCTGTTTTCAAAAGTTAAAAATTGTTAGCATATCTATCTCTAATAACGTTCTCACCGATATTTTTGTTTTATTTTTAATCTGAAACATTTACTCCTATATTTAATCATATATTTAATCATATATTTGGACTCTTAACAATTATTACTCTGATATTTCTTATTTCTTTGACAAATAACTCATACCAAATCATATTAAGTGCTTTTTTACAGTCGAAATGAAGTAAGAGTTTCATTGAATTATAATATTCGATAGAAGAAAAGTATTTATGCAAAAAATGTATAGCTTAGTATATTAACATTGTAAGCTACTACAGGTATACTATATCTATTATAAGCTTTACAATAAAGTCATATAATTATTATAATTTTATATTATATTTCTCATTATTTTAACTTTTTCTAAAAATTATGATAATATACCTTTTATTAAAAAACATTACAATGTAAAAGTTACACTTTTCAGAAAATATTTGTCCGATAATTTAATTTTAATACAAAAACTTCTATTGTACACTTATTTTATACTTTTGAAAGTTTTATTTTATTTAAAATAATTGGCTTTGAGAGCAATGATAAGTATGCCAAGAATACTTTGAAATATTTATTACATAAACTCATTCATATGATGCAATATTTGTATAAAGCTAAATGTACCATCTCTTAAAACTGTGTTATTTTATTAATTGAATTTATCTTCGCATACTAAAATGTATACTAAGCAGTTCATATATTAAGCTCTCTCTCTGCTTTGTTAAATACATCTAAATATGCAATATATTCAAAAATTATAATCTAATGTTTCCTATCTATATTATAGATCATGCACTAAATTATTAATACTAAATATAAATTTAGAATTCATTACTACTTTTTATGATTAATCATTCGACAGTTATCTACCACAGGAGAGATATTTTCTAGGAAAAAAAAAATCTAACGAAAATTATTTCCTCTTTATAATTCAGCAAGGAGAAATTTTTGGTGCTCTTCTGTTATCAGGACCAGCTTCAGAAACATGTGCATATATGCATGTATATATGGATGGGTATGTTATGTATGCATGTGCATATTTTACGTACGTATTTATGCATGTGTATACGCATACATACACATATACGCACATACATACATATACACCTACAGAGATACATATATTTCTGAATCTGGTCCCGATAACAGAAGAATACCAGATTTCTTAATTTAAATAAAATGCCGAGATTAAATGGTTTATTACGGGCAGAATGCTTAAACGTGTCAACGAATCAACAGATTGTATTTGTTTGTAAAGGCAACGAATAACTAGTAGTATCAGAATAAATAACTTCTACAGCATACTAGGCAAACTAAAGTATTGTTAAGTAAGATTAATTAGGTATATTTTTGTTTATCTCAGTTTTACTTAAAATTTATCATGAAAGATCTCTGAAACCTCTATCTCTTTAGCACATACCGACTGTAAGATTTGCAACAAGTTGTATTTAGAATATAAATATTTTCAAATGATGAAAACCAATTAAAATATTTCAAAGTGAAAACCATCTGTCATCTGTGTAACTTGCCCTGTAAATTGATATAAAATCACCTAACCCGCAAACATTTAAAACAATTCAACCTAGAATAAAAATGTCTTTAAAATTTTAAAACTTTAATTGATAAAGTATATTTTAAATCCTCAGAAAGAAATACATAAATAGCTAAAAGATAACTGATAAAGAAATACCATTTATAATTCCAGAAAAAAATTATTAGAAGAAGCAATAATCGTACTTCAGAAGATCATTAAATGATATGTCATTTTACTTGCACATAAAATTTTGATGAATAATTCTTCTTCAAAAATAAAAAAATTAGTGATTTTGTTTGATGACAATTTTAGAATAAGAAAATTTAGAAATTAGAAAGAATTTAATAACAATAGCAGCGCTATGCAAAGATAATACTGTATCTGCTAAGGCATCTTACCTTTTCTTGATATCGTTCATATTTCGAGATGGACAGCTTCGTTCCTTGTGCTGGCACATGGACTGTGGTATAGTGAACGAATTCTCTCCCCTCTGCTAGACGCATACCGGTTTGTGACACCTCTTCTGCCTTTTGCTCTCAGAATACTTCAACAGACAACATCGCTTCACCTCCTTTTTCCTCCAGACTACACCTGCCACTACTGCTTGCAGATTTAATGCTCCATGATGTCAACGTTCAGGTTTGTAATATTAAAATGCTTTTCAAATTATGCCAATAAAAGCTGAATGAAGAAAGCTCCAGGTATGTAGCTTATATTTACTTAGGTGTCACGAGGATTACTGAAACTTTATAGTTGTAATTTTACAAGCCTAGTCACCCGAGCAGGTTAAGGACCGTATATAACCTTGTTTCGAGTTGCAACTGGAGAAAAACAGGGTTGTTCCGTTTGGCGAGAAATAAAACGGTGCCAACATCAAATCAGAAGCCAAAATATTCCTCCCGACTCGTTGTACTGATTTTAAAGAATACAGGCTCCAGAAATTTGTTCGTAGCTAAAATATTACCAAAGGAAAATGAAGACGCTAAAGCACTTTGAATTATAAACGAACAAAGCAATGTTTTTGTACTAAATGCTTACTTTTTTTAAGAATAATATTTCTAAAAAATACATTTCTGGATTTTGTCTTTTATTTATCATTACCATGGCAATTTATGGATGGAATTCTTTTACAATTGGATTTCGTCACGATTAGGAACGAGGATATTTAATTGATTCCTGAGCAAAATTCGAGCCCTGAGTTAGAGAAAGACAAAACATATAAATAATATTATAAACGGCGTAAAGGTACCTTCTAACCTAAGAAAGGAAAAATATAATACCCAAGAACTTAACAGATTCAACAGAAAAATTAAAAGTTAAATTAGTGTCGTCATCATAAAAAGCATAAACTGTACCGTTAAAAACTGATATAATAATTTCTGAATGTGACAGTTAAATACAAATTTTATATTCGAATTTTATTTATTTATGCAGATTTGAAAATAAAGGTGAAATGTACTTTGAAAATCAAAGCATTCGCTTTAAATTTTAAGTGAATTCTTAATATGTTTACTGAGGTTAGTAAGCAAGATCTTTACAAAATCATTACATTGTGGCACATACACATCAATCTGTCATATAAAACTCCTTTTTCTTTCGCATTTTTATGTGCATCTGCCAAAAAGGGAATGTATGTATTTTCTCATAAACCTGTAAATAGGAATTACAAAAAATCATTGCTATTAAACTTCATAGCAATAACAACTTAGCAAACTTTATTATAACTCTTTAAAACTGATTTAAAAAAGACACAGTTGTTACATTTATTACGTAGATTAATAAATATTAAAAATATATTTTTTAAGATAAGAAAAATATTAGCTGAGCGTCTTTTACGTGTATGATATCTTATATCACTTCTAATCCTTTATTTTAGTTATATCACCTTTTTTTTTCCATTTTTCTTTCTTATTAACCCTCTTTTCTTCATATGCATTTGAAAAGGTAAGTGCTATATAGCATTCAATTTACTTTTAATGTTTATTGTTGGCCCAAAGAGGCGTTAGCCGAGAAGGGCTATTAGTCTCGAAATGGTATTTTGCGTAGAATCACTAAAAACGTTGAATTACTTTTCAGATTGTTGCCACCAAATATTATCGCCCTGTATTATATTTAAAGAAATTAAATAATGAAGAATCTGCATGAATGTATATATATTCCTTGCATTGTGAAAAACCAACAGTACCTACAGTCATCATATTTTGAATAACGTAGTCCTCAACCCCGAATATGACCAACTGGAAGCCGGAATTTTGAATCTCGAGTTTGTTTCATTACCTTTCTCGTATTCTGTAAAACTTTGACGAATTTTTTATTACAAAATTTAACGATTTCAAAGCGAGCAGTAACAGCATTGTACAGAATAAAATATTTTTATATCCAGCGTGCGAGACTATCTATCAGAAATTCTAAAGATATGCATTTTTTAAATATTTTTGCCCAAAGAAGGGTTAGTCCAAATGCTCTTGAAACGGCTTTCGAAACGAGTATGTGTGTGAAAACCACCCCTTTGGCGTAATATAAAATCTGAAAGCTTTGAAATTTTTGTTGAGAACAAAATTTAACATTCTTCTTTTAAAATAAAAATTTGATTTGCGGTTGAGAAATCGCACAGACGACTATCTTTACTTGAGTAAGTAAATAAAGCATAATATTTGAAATACCTGTCACTTTAAAAAATAGGTGTTTTCTTTTTTTCGATGCATAGTCTTGAGCGTATTAATTTGTAAAGTGAGGAAAATTTAAGTCTTTAGTTTAAAAAAATATCCACTCGAAAACAAATTCCTCCAAAAACTGTTTGCATAAACTTTTTGTTTCACATTCAGTTACTTTTTGAAAAACTTTCTAAACTAGATGCATATTTGAATAAACATTCCGTAATATGTTTCAGTTAAAAAAAAAACAGCATATTATTCCGTCTCTTTCAATTAGAAATTTTGAATATCTGACTTTGGTAGCAGAATGATAATTCCACTCAATGACTTGCTCCCTAAAAGCAATTATGATTAAATTTAATCAATATATATCAGGGAAGTGTTTAATATTTTAGATAGTCTAGGAAATTGTTTTAAGACAAAAATACAAGAAAGAACAACAACAACAAAAAAAAAAGTAAAAAGGTCAAATTGATATGATTACTTAAAGATCTGTTTTTCAGAAATGTTTCACTATTCATATAAAAATTTACATAATTGCTCCTTTCTATGAGTTGTTCAAAACTAATTCTAATAGTTACAATTTTGGAATTGCATCAAATATTTTTCACAGAAAATATTAAAAAGAAAAATAATTGTCCAAAAATTTACTATTTATAAGAGTAAGAAACACTTTAATTATCAAATTGCAGTGTGTTTTAATCTGTTTTGGTCTTTTCAAATATTGATCCATTTTTGGAACTTAAAATGGAACAAAGAAAGAGGCATATCCCACAGTCAGTTTTTTTAAATTGTATTCTTCGTTTCATAAAATCTTACATTCAACAGTAAAATTTCGAAACTCCTAAAATTCCCAAAGGTCATATTTTTAAGTAACAAACATCGTTGTAGTACCGTAACATCGTTGTAACGTAAGAAATGATTTGGTTAGTAATATGATTAAGAAATGGGGTAAATATGTGAAATCGGATTTATAGCGGTAACCTTTCGTAATTTAGAGTTCAACTTTAATTTTTCTTTGTTTAACTACAAATTATTTCTTAATTGCAAGAAAATCATTTTTATTAGTTTCCATATATGTGTTTGGGTCCGACTTTTAATTCCTTTTCAAGCAGTTTTAGAAAAATATCACTAGTCAGTATCAGAGCCTGATATTCCAGATTCTTGGCAAAGTATTCTTTCCGTTCATTTTCCTTAGTTTTATCATGAAAAAACATGATTATCTGTAATTTCAGAAGAATTTTCTAAGGCCTTATATCTGGGGTTCTAGAACATAAATAAAAGTCCTATACCAAACGGGGTCCTGAACAGCAAAGGTAATGATGAAAACATGCTTTTGGAAAACGCCAGCATTTCAAAGTATGTTCCCTGTAAAACTTTCTTATCAACATTGTTACTTATTCGGCAGTGAAAAATGCAGTCTACAGCGATCTCGTTTTCTAACAACCGCATCTCACTAAAGTAAAACTTAAAGCCGTTAATAAAATACAATCCTGCTCGAAAAATAAGCAACAAAGGCAAAACACGGAATAAACCAAACTATTTAATAGATATGAGGGAAAATGTTCCAAGAGTTTGGTGTGGCATTAATAGACCACATAGCAAACAATAGAGCAAAGATCTTTTAATTCTCCTATTTACATTCGTACTTTTTCTTTTAGGTTTTCATGTTTATTGTTTTAGCACGAGTGTACAAATGAAAATTGTTTACTTTTTTAAATTGTTCAACGTTTCAAATCCTCTAGCAGAAGATAAAATATTCTATGTCTTACTAACATGTTTAGTTCGTCTCACTCATGATAATAGTTTATACAGTGTTCTTTTTCTAATTTTAATGCCTGGTTTATAAAATTTCTTTTTCATGTAATAAAACTTTTTTCTCTGAAGGTAATGTGCAAATAACTTATGTTACCTTGATTCCTTGCTGCTATTTCTTTTGTAGTGCTTTTTTAAGTACAAATAGTTAGCTTTATTGCATTAATTGCGAAGATAGTAAGGTTACCTAGTGTTAAGAATGCGTATAACTGGAGTCTAAGCTTACAACTTAAAAATATGTTAATACTTTACTAATTATACTTTTATATAGCGAGAGAAAGCTAACGCCTTTTAAGTAGAAATACATTTTGAATTGAATTTTGCATTTATTTATACTTTTTGTCAGATAATGTTAGTAACTAGTCTTTTGTTCAACAGAAAGAGAGAAATATTTGCACGAATTAGCTGTACTGCAGCGAAGTGTTCAATTTATGTAATCTGAATATTTACAATTTCTGTTTAGCATATATTTACATAAAACTTACATGGATGGCATTTCTGACAGAAAGAAAATCCATCTCTATTTTTTTTTTAATTTGGCAAAGTAATAAGGTATTTTCTCCCCCTTCCCCTATGCATTCGTGCTGTAAAGGTAGCACACTCGGCGCGTATTCGAGAGGTCCAGGTTCGAGTCTCGGGAATGGCGTTGCACAATTTTTACATCTCTTGCTTAAGAAAATCTAATGGCTCTACAAAGTATAAGTAATTTTTGGCAAGTATAAGTATATATTTGTTTTATTAAAACGTCATTATAGCTGAATCAGACCACCAGCGACCGAGCGGTAAAAGTCGCTAAATACTGGTAGTTCGGTCTGAAGCCAGCGATCGGGCTGGTTGCATGGGCATTTCTTGCTGTTCCCCATGTGTAAAGTGTATACGACCCAGTTTTCCTTAGAAAGTCCTCTACGAAGGCATCTCTTTCCTTAGGCAGATAGCCCTGGAAGCTTTGCCATAATCACATAAACCAAACCAATACATCTGAATCACGCGTTTTAACGTGTAATTCAAAAAGATAGATCTATATTGACTGACTGCAAAGAAAGGTAAGTTTTTTTTAAGTATTAATTTGAGAATTGAAGGATTAAGCTAAAAACTTTTGCTTTTACTTACTTTTTTATCAAGTTCATGAAATTTTAAATTACATAATAGAAGTTAATTACTGTAAATTATCAGTGCAAAGTTATGCCCTTTAAATTTTGTGAATAAGAACCTATAAAGCTAAATTCGTTTTTGAGGAACCCCAAGAAGAGAAAGCTAAAAAAAAGAATTGAAAATACAGTCAACTTCTGATTAACTGGGAGCGGATTAACCTGGCCTTGTCTAAAAAATATTAAGTTCAT